GGCTCTGTGGGTCATACAGATCAGGAGCAAAGCCTGCCTTGAGTCCAGACACCAAGGTGGAACAGTGGACATTCATCTCACACTTAGAAACTTAAACTGTACAGCTCAGAACTCTTGGAAAGCAGGTTCTGTACTGGAATAGATGAGGGTGGGGGCCAGCCTCACCTCTGTTTTTCAGGGAAATGTGGGAAACAAGAAGGAATTCCACATTTTCCTTTGCTCATGTGAATCTATGCCATCATGTTGTCATCTGTCTCTCCAAATCTGCTCACAAAAGCTCAAGATGGCCATACTTTGGCAGCAGTCCTTCCACCAGTTAGTCTTTCTTTTGTTGTCCCTGCTCAGCTTCTCCTTCCAGTAGGTGTTCAATCCACTTTTCTAACCCTTCTTTGGAAGCTCAACCTATTTTTGGAAACCGTTTTGTTTCATTCTATCTCCTCTATATTTTTGCTGTAGAGAGTGTCTGCCTAGGCCACCATTTTGCTGGAAGTCCAGAAATTTAAATATAGAGAAGCAAAAGTGATTGTAAGAAGAGGAAGAAAAGAAGTGATTGTAAGAAATAAAGTAAATTTCAAAGAGCAGCTCAAGAAAAAAAAGTCAAGTATTATAGTGAAATGTATAAAGACTTGGAGTTAGCCAAAAGGGAAGTACATGCTTAGCATTTTTCAAGCTATAAGAACTGAAGAAAAAATTCAAGTCTTGGGTTGTAAAATTGAATGATTTTATGAGCAAAATATTGAATAATGCTGGAAACATCAAAATAAGATGAAAGGAATAAAAGGCACTGTCCAAAAAGAATTTGTCAGTGCTCAATTATTTCAAGAGGTACCATATAATCTAGAACTAATGAGGAAGTCACTGGTTTTGAAAAACTCTATCCTGTGATTGCCAGCCATAGTTTCTGTCACCAAGGATATGCACAGGTTCTAGAGACAGGCTCCTCATGAGCACAATTAAGTATTTTGGAATACTCATTCTCTGCAATGTTGTCCATAGCTTGTCATGATCCACACAGTCAAAAGACTGCATAGGCAACAAAGCACAGGTAAATATCTTTCTGGTAATCTCTGCTTTCAGTCAAGATCCATCTGATGTCAGCAATGATATCCCTTGTTCCATCTCCTCTTCTGAATCTGGCTTGAACCTCTGGCAGCTCTGTCAATGTACTTACTGACGTAGCTGCTTTTGAATTATCCTTAACAAAACTTTACTTGAATGTGATTATCAAGGGTATTGTCTGATAATTTCCACATGTAAAACCCTGGTATGTATGTGAAAGTTGAACAATGAATAAGGAAAACTGTAGAAGAATTGATGCATATGAGTTTTGGTGTTGGAGAATACTAAAAGTACCATGGACTGCCAAAAGAACAAACCAATCTGGGTTGGAAGAATTACGGCCAGAGTGCTAGAGCCAGGATGGTGAGACTTCATCTCTCATACTTTGGACATATTATCAGGAGGGAATAGTTCCTGTAAAAGGATATCATACTTGATAAAGTGGAGGGTCAGTGAAAAAGAGGAAGACCCCAAACGAGACGGATTGGCCCAGTGGCAGCAGCAATAAACTCAAGCATAGCAGTGGTTGTTGAGATTGGCTCAGGACTGGGCAGTGTTTCTGCTGTGCATAAGTTCACTATGTGTCAGTACCGACTCAATGGCAAATAGTAACAGTCAGTATATATAGTTAAGTTATTTCATAAAGTCCAAACTTTAGTGCTAGTTCTTTGTTCCACAAATCATTAATAACAGATGTACATAATGGTCAGTGACGAATCACATCGCTTCTTTCAAAGTCTGTCAATGATTGGTACTAACCATCTATTATCCAATTCACACAAGGATAGCAAAGTATGTGGTTGTGTTGTCTCCCTGCCCCGCGCCCCCCCCCCCCCCCCATACTTAAGTTTCACAGAAATGGAGTCTGAAGAGGGAATATTGGCCAACAAAGACAAAAGTACAGAAAAGAAACAAAAAATGCTAAGGCTGAAAATGAAATTAGTTCACTGTAATTTTTTTAATATATAAAAAATAGCTGACCGCGGGAATGTTGACACTGCCAGCATTTAAGGAACAAAAGATAAGCAGATGGGAACTTACTGAAGGCAAACATTAACATGAATGAGGAAAGTGGTTATGACAAAAAGGTTGATGATATCCCAAAGGAAGCACTGTCAGCAAAAACTTCAGAAATATTTCACATTGAAAGCACAAAGCATCAAATATTTGAAGTGAATCCAAATTTAGAGGAATATAAGAATTCATGGGAGGCATACAAAAATGCTTGCTCCATATTATTATTCCCTTAATGACCTGTGAATTCTGTGAGACACTGCAGTGTACTGTGAACCCTGGGACATTGGGGAGAACATTGAGGGGATTGTTAAGTGCCATCGAGTCAGTTCCAAACTAAAGTGACCCTCTGTAAGGTTTCCAAGGGCTGGTGAGCTTGAACTGCTGACCTTGCAACCCAGCACATCAACTTGCAGCACCACATCAGGACTTCATTGAGGAATGAGTGGTTGATATTGGGGATTATGGTGTGTTGTAGGATAACCCCGTACCTGTTTTGTAAATGTAACTCAGCTTTTAAATATTGGCTCTTCTGTTAAGTTGTGCCTGTGTAGGGTGGATCCTAAATTGGAACTGACTCAATGTACATAGCACTTTAGGAAAGTCACATTTGGATTGCCTCATAAGTATTAGCGTCATGCTGATCCTTCTAAAAAGAAACTGCTGTTGTGAGAGGCCAACACTGTTCAAACTTGTTGACTATATTGTTGCTGTTACATGGCCGCTGTATAGGGTTTTCTGAGTGGTGGCTGGTAGGTATGGAATGTGGACCCTGTGGTTTAGCAGAGTGCTTAATCTGACAGCACTACATCAGGGCTCCAAAACAGGTTGTTTTAAGTGCCATTCTCAGCAGCCTCACATAGGGTTTCCAAGGAGCACATCAAACTGTTGAAATCATAACCCTGTATCTCTTTTGTAAATATGAGTTTTTAAATACTGGCTGTTTTGAAATTGTACCCATGTAGGGTGGATACTAAAGCTCATCACTTAACAGACAAAAAAAACTACCCCCTAGAAACACAACTAGAATTTGGACTTCTGGTCTCCTGTACAATGTACAAGCTATTCACTTGTATTTGCTACACCACCACTAATTATTGAGATTATTCTGCAGGTTTTTACCTTGCATGATTTTTTGGTTTCACACTATTTGTATAAAGTGAAACCTATCTATATTTAAATGTGTTCTTGGAGGCTGGAGCAACCATTAGACTTAAACATACCAACTGATTCAAGCAAGCATTAAAAATTGAACACAAAGGCAATTCAAAAGGTTCATGGAATGAAAAGATAACAGAATTTTCCCATGAACTCTTATTTTTAAGCCACTTCATATTTGGCAATTAGAATACATTTGAACATTTTTTGAGAAAGGCCATTATCTTTTAAACATAGTATCTCAGAGGTTCCATGTGAATGCCTCTATTTTAACTATGTATATTTGATATTTTCCATAAAGTTAAAAGTTAATAGTGTACCTCAATAAGGTAAGTAGTCCAGGAGCAGAGGTCCCAGGGACCAGCAAAGGAGAAGAGTGCGGAACCCTACCCAGAGAACACTGACACCAGAGATGGTGAGATGGAGTGGTGGGGGCCTATAGACCCAGAGAGGGAGAGGGGCCATGTGCTGACCTGACAACCAGGGGGCAGGCTTGCAGGGTGTACCCTTTGGTTGATGCTTGGAGGGGATTGTAACCACGGCAATGAAATGACAGGATGAATGTAAAGCTGTTTTCCCATGTAAACTATCAAATAATTCACAATAAAACAAACAAAAAAAGGTAAGTGACATGCAAGGCCTTCAGGAGGTCCAACCACCAAGTCCCAGAGAGAAGAGACAAAGGGATGGCATGGATAAACAATCACAGCAGACATTACCATTCTGTCTACTGGCAGACACATGGGTTGTCATCTGATTTGGTATCATCTTACAATGAAAACTGTGTGTATTCCTACAGTGCCACAAGAGGGCTCCATATGCTCAGTAAATGTCAGACATTCATAGTTCAATAAGATTTATATTACATGAGGGGGTTTTCCAAGTTAATAGGAAAATTCCATCATCTTTTAATCTCACTTCCATGAATTTTTTAAAGCATGAAGATGTTTGACAGGCTATTTCTATATACGTATATATAAATGCTGTTGACTCAGAGGCCCTACATAGGGCCACATCAGGATTCCATTTGTGAAATTAAATCTTTTCTGATTCATGTTTTGAATTAAAGTTAACATGATTTTTTTTAAAATCCAGTTCTAGGAACTTGGCACAGTTCATTCCAGAATCAATTCTTTTCAAAACCATGTTTAATCTGCTTAAAGGAGGAAAAAAAAAAAAAAAAGACTTTTGATGTCAAGTAGGGAAGGATTAAATTTGGCTAGATCGTGGATGCATGGCCTAAAAGGCAAAGGTTTCTGGGGATATTTCATTTGATAGCTCATCTGTACAGATGTCTTACTATGAAAAACTTGAGTGGATCATCAACTTATGAACAGATGTTAAGTTTATAACACTGCTAACCTGTCACCAAAACCCAACATGAAGTCACAGAAGTTTCAAACTGTACATCTTACCAAACCCTGTCATCGATCCTAACTTACATAGATCCTGGGTTATCTATCAGACCCAAACTCCACAAGGGTTTTATAAACTGATCACCAGGCCTTTCTCCCAAGGTGCTTCTGGGATTCTTTTGCTTTTTGCCACCCAGGGATGTAATTCTAGTAGAGAAATTCTCTCTACGAAAAAAACAAAGTAAACTTGGAACTCAGAGATCTTAAGTCTAACGAGCCTGTTTAAAATTGCAGCTATGCCATTAAGTAGCTCTATTATTTTGGACAAACAGTGAAATCTAAACAGCAGTAATTTTACACCAACTATTTCATTCATTAACAGGCATAGCATTTAAACAATTACTAAAGCACTCGGTATTCTGAATAAAAGCCAACAAAATCTACCAATGGATACTCAATTTATTAAAATAGTTGACTTAAGCATCTGCAATGGTGACTTCAACCTCTACTCCAGGCTCAATACTGATGGAAGTGATTTGCTTAACAATCTCAGAAGGACTGTGCAAGTCAATGAGTCGCTTGTGGATTCTCATCTGGAAGCGGTCCCAGGTCTTAGAACCTTCACCACAAGGTGTCTTCCTTGTTGTGATTCTCAGAGTCTACAACAAAAGACAAATCCATGCATTTAGTTTTATATGATGACTTAGAAATGCAAGCAAAACCATTACTTTCAAACTTGCCAAGTATTTCACTTTAAAAAAAAAAAAGAACATGAGTTAGTATCAGAACATTGTTCTGAAATTCAGCTTATCTGAAGTGAAGGGGTAAAAATTTGGTTTTGTAGAATTAGAAGCAACTCTTCGAGATCTTAGTTTACTTTACCTTGGTAGGCATCCTAACTGGGCCCTTCACTTTCAGGTTCTTGTCCTTTGCACCTCTAATCAAGTCAGCACATACTGCAAGAAAATCAGTTGCCTTTCAGTTCACTCAGCATAATTATCACTAAGTTTGCTTTTAAAAAAGTCAATTGATGCTGGCTCAGAATAGCGTACACAAATATCATTGTTAATTCAATACCTAGATCTCTCTCCTCACTGCCAGCTACTCGTTGTAAAAGGCAGAGTAAGAACCATCAAGTTTAGACTTTGTCTTTTTAGCTAAACGACTTGTTGCTTTACTTCTCTTTGAAGTCATGTTTGCACCAAGTCAGATTCATTGTTTGTACAGAGGTTAGACCCATAAACTCCCGTCCTGACCTTTCTCCAGCGACTTCACGTTGCGGCTGGTTAGAGTAATTCTAATCCGGTGAATGGCCACCTCTGGTTCCACGGGCGTCTTTCCGGTATCCTTAAAAGCCTGTCAATTTATTAAGTTAGGCAACATTACAGACAATAATGAATTATGGAGACAAGTTCAGGTCTCTCACACCAGCAGAGGAAGCATTCTAATCAGGGCTTAGGCTTCCACTGAGGTGATACACCACGTTTGGTAACTACGCGCCTTTCTGTGGCATAAATGCTCTCCGTTTTCTCAGTACCCGCTCCCAGCAGCACCCCCAGGCCTAATAATCCAGGGAATGCGTCCCGCGGGGGAACGACACAGTGCGGTCCGCAGGCGCCCAAAGCCGAACGGTACCATCCTCGTCTCACCATGGCGGCGGCGCGGCTTCCTGACCGACTTGTTCCTCGGCAAGAGCGAACAGCGGTGAGTCAGGAGCAGGAGCGGCCGAGCGAGGAAACGGGTAGCTGATACCACGTCTTCCGCAAAGAGAAAGGGGTCGAGCATGCGTGGAGCTTATATAGCTTCGCTCGCGTCTGCATCCGGGTCCCGCCCGCCGTTGAGCACTACCCCGGAAGAGTTCGCCCGCCTCTCTAAAGGAGGCCGAGCCTCTTGGGACTGGAGGACCCGCCGAGGTGGCCGGAAAGACGCGGCTGTTCTCTGTCCCCGCAGGAGTCGAGGGTACCCCCACATTGGTCCCAGTCCTCGCAGCCTACTCCTGTCTGGGACCACCTATCGAGACTGAGACTTGGCCGCCAACACGAGAAATCCATCTGCCGGTGCGCATGCTTCCCAGCCACCGTGAAGTTCTAAGCTCCCTGCGGTGTTTGCTTGTTGTGCAAATGAAATCCATCGCTTGTTATCTGAGCAAGTGGTAGCTTCTCTGAGTTTCACATTTACCCGTGGGTATTACGGAGATGGCTGTGATCCTTTGGGAGTGTTACCGAGTCGCTGTAGCCTAAGCACTGGACCATGAGGATGGTTTGAATCGCAAGGTCGCTGTTTCAAACTGTCTAGCTGCTCGGGAGGGTCGCTATGAATAGGAACAACAATTCTAGACAGTAATTTTGCATCTTGCTGTTTAGGCTTCTTTATCAGCAGTTGCTGTGGCTGTATTCTGACTCGGGGACCATGTGTTATCTCAAAGTAGAACTTTGCTCCACAGGTTTTTCAGTGTCTGATTTTGGGGGCAGTCGATCACCATTTGTTCTAAAGTGTCTCTGAATGGATTTATATCTGGAACTTTTTACACCACCAAGTACCCCCAAGATATTACACAGACATAGTGAAAAGCATCAGAGTCCTGGTGTGGCTCTGTGGGTTAATACGCCATGCTGCAAAGCCGTTTGAACTGCAAGGTCGGCAGTTCAAGCTCACCAGCTACTCCTCGGAAACCCTATACAGGGTCCCTATGTGTCGGAACCGACTCGACGGCACTTAACAACAACAAATGAAAAGCATCACCAATTAAAACATTTGTTTCAGTTTTAAAACATTTTGTATATTTTCTCTTGAAAGTTAGTAACTACTGTAGGCCCTAAATATAAATTTAAAATATAACCCTATTTAGATCCGAGATGTTACGTGGAGAAATTGTAGAAATAAAAAATAAGCAAAAAAAGAAGAAAATAAATTCCACCATTTGAAGTTAACCATTGTTTGAACCTTTAAAGTTATGCATTGTTGTTAAGTGCCGTCGAGTCTGTTCCGACCCATAATGACCTTGTATAGGGTTTCTGAGTGGCTGGTAAGCTTGAACTGCAGACTTTGGAGTTCAAATTGACTTGCAGTCCAGCGCATTAACCTACAGCGCCACATCTCTTCGAATAATGGGATCAGTACGCTATGGGTTATTACAGTGGACTGCAAGGTCGGTTGTTCAAGCTCACCAGCCACTCCTCGAAAACCCTATACAGGGTCGCTATGGGTCAGAACAGACTCGACAGCACTTATGCACAACAGCACTCTAGGTGCTTTTGGTAACCTTTTGTGGCGCTGTAGGATAAGCACTAGGAGCTCTGGTAGCGTAGTGGTTACGAATTGCGCTGCGAACCTCAAGGTTAGCCGTTCGAAACTACCAGCTGCTCCGCGGGAGAAAGTTGAGGCTTTCTGCTCCCGTAAAGATTTACAGCCTCGGAAACCCTGTTCAGGGTCGTTATGGGTCGGAACCCACTCGATGGCACTTAACAACAACAACAAGGATAAGCACTGGACTCGCCAGGTCGTTTGAATCTCAAGATGTGTAGTTCAAACCCTTGGGTACTCTATACAGAGTCACTATGAGTACAAACTGACTCAACGGCACTTAACGAGAACAATTCATAGAATATTTTGTCACCAGGAATATACTTCTGTAATGTTTCTTGTAAGGATTGCATAATTGTGAATTGTATGGGTGGTCTATCCATAATTTATCGAACCAGTCTTCTATTTTCAGACAAATAGATTTGTTTCCCTATTATTTAATTTTATAAACAATACCATGAGGTACATGCTTGTAGGTTAAGGTTTTCAGATTCAACACTACTGACCTTGTGATCTGGATAATTCTTCTTTGTGAGGGCTGCCCTGTGTATTGCAGATTTCTACCAACTAAGGAGCTCTGGCAGTGTTGTTATATGCCGTGGAGTCGGTTCCGATCCATAGCGACCCTGTACAGGGTTTCCGAGGCTGGAAATCTTTACGGGAGCACAAAGCCTCATCTTTCTCCCGCAGAACAGCTGGTAGTTTCCAATTGCTGACTGCGAGGTTATCAGCCCGATTGGTAACTACTATGCTACCAGAGCTCGTAGTGGTGACAAATCGACTGCTAATCTCACAGTCAGCAGTTAGAAACTACCAGCTGTTCGGCGGGAGAAAGATGAGGCTTTCTGCTTCTGTAATTCAGGGTTGCTATGAATAAGAACCGACTCCAAAGCACATAACCGCCATAGAAAAATTGTTCTCAAATAGATAGGTACCTTGTCCAGCTGTGTAAGGCAGATTCAGTGGGAAAGACAGTAGTAAATTATTAATACTATTAAAAACTGGTGTTTTTGGTAACTCTATCCATCTCATTTCCCTAGTAATTTCTGTAGTTCTCTTAATCTTGTAAAGACTGTCACAGGGTTACCGAGTCACAATCCACTGCCTGGCTATTGGGTGGGGTGGACAGCCATCTACTGGTCTTCTGCTGCAATGACAGTGTCAGTCTTCAAATTCCTACAGGAAATTGGCAGTGGTTAAAAACTGTTGTTGTTGTTAAGTGCCGTCGAGTCGGTTCCGACCCATAGCGACCCTGTACAGGGTTTCCGAGGGTGTAAATCTTTATGGGAGTAGAAAGTCTCATCTTTCTCCCACGGAGCAGCTGGTAGTTTCGAACCACTGACCTTAAGGTTCGCAGCCCGATTCGTAACCACTACGCTACCAGAGCTCCTTAAAAACTACAGGGTTGTATTTTTGAAACATACCTATTCAATCTGTATGCTGAGCAAATAATCTGAGAAACTAATTTATATGAAGAATGTGTTATCAGGATTGGAAGAAGACTTTAATAACCTGTGATGTGCAGATGACACAACATTGCTTGCTGAAAACAAGACAACTTGAAATGGATTATGCTTTGTGGGTAGTGGTGAGATGGAGTTGATTCTGACTCATAGTGACCATTTATAGGGTTTCTGAAGCTGTAAATCTTGTAAAGAAAGCCTCATTTTTCTCCTATGGAGTGACTGGTAGATTTGAACTGCTGACCTTGTGGTTAGCAGCCCAATTCGTAACCTGCTACATTGCCAGGATTCCTTAACATAAGAAAATAAAATTCTCATGATTGTACAGGTAAGCACCATCATGATAAAGAGACTAAGTTGTCAAAGATTTCATTTTACTTGCATCAACGATCAATGCCCATGGATGGAAACAGCCGTCAGTAAATCAAATGACATATTACATTGGACAAATTTGCTGTAAAAAATCTTTTTTAAAGTGTTAAAAAGCAAACATGTCACTCTCAAGAGTGCCTGACCCAAGCCACTGTATTTTCAATCATCTCATATGCTTTCAAAGAAAGATGGACAATAACTAAGGAAGAATGGATACATTTGAATTATGGTTTTGGTGAAGAATATTCAATATACTATGGACTGCCAGAAGAATGAACAGATCTGTGTTGGAAGAAGCACAGTTAGAATGCTTTTCGGAAGCAAGAGTGATGAGACTTCATCACATGTACTTTGGACATGTTATCAGGAGGGACCGGTTCCTAGAGAAGGACATCATGCTTGGTAAAGTTGAAGATCAGCAAAATAGAGGAAGACCCTTAACAAGATGGATTGTCACAGTGACTGCAGTAATGGGCTCAAAAGTAGGAACAGTTGTGGAGATGGCTCAGGTCCAGGAAGTGTTTTGTTCTGTTATACATAGGGCTTTTGTGAGTTAACACTGACCTGATGACACCTAACAACAACTTGGAAGCCCTGGTGGTGCGGTGGTTAAGCTTTAGGCTGGTAATCCAAAAATAGGTGTTTGGAACCTTCCAGCCACTACTTGGAAGGATGTAGCAGTCTGCCCTCACGTGCTGTCTTAGTTATCTACTGCTGCTGTAACAGAAATAATACTAGTGATGGCTTTAACAAACACATTTATTTTGTCACAGTTTAGGAGGCTAGAAGACCAAATTCAGAGTGCTAGCCCTAAGAGAAGCTTTTTTCTGCTCTGGGGAAAGAAAGGTCCTTGTCTCCTTTTAGCTTCCATAGGCCCAATATTCCTTGAAGAGCTCCATACATCTTGGCATAAACTTCCCCTGGATCTAGGAGTTTCACAATACAGGGACCCCAGTTCTAAAGGACACAGTCCACTCTTGGCTCCTCTATCTTGGTGGTAGTATATCCTTCTCTCTCTGCTCATGCTTCTCTTCTTTGATACACCAAAGGACATTGACTCAAGATACAACCTAATCCTGTAGATTACATCTGGCCTTATTAAGGTCATAGAAGTGAGCATTTACAGCACATAGGAAAGTTACATCAGATCAGACATGACAACATCAAAAGAATGATTGCATCATATCAGGTCTCATCATGAAGGTGATAACCACATCTCAACTGGTAAATCACCAAGAATCCTAGCCATGCCAAGTTGCCACAAAACCCTAAATATCACAGATGTACCCTTTATACAACATAACAAAGCATTGCCCAGTCACACCATCTTCACAATTGTTATGTTTGGGCCCACTGTTGCAGCCACCCTGTCGATACATCTTGTTGATTGATTATCTTTTGTCTTTTTTACTTACCCTCTACTTTATCAAGTATGATATCCTTCACTAGGGCCTGGTGAGACAAAGTCTTTCCATATAATACTCCCCTCCCCTTTTGAAACTTTTTATTGTGCATGCAATGAAAGTACATAGAGGAGAGTTTCATATTAAAAAAAATCATACACTTGTTTCATCTCAACGATTGCAATCC